CAATTTATTACAAAACCCAACAAAAAATGCGCACCAATTTCTACTTGTGCGTTATGTTCTTAGGTTAACACGAGGAAAACCCACAAGAAGTGAAATGTTTTAAACTAGATAGCCCAAATTATATCTCCCAATTTTTTACACCTCGTGCTCGCCTGATTAATGTAAATTTCATTATATATATTTTTCTTTCAATTAATTAATTTATTTTTAATATTTGTATATGCATAACTCACATTTTATCTTGTTTTGTATTTTTAGTAGTCTGACGAGCGTATTTAAGATAAGCCTCTGGGTCAGAAGATTGTGCAAACACTTCCACGCCTTCGACATTAAATAACGTATTCTATTCTATTATTTTGTTCAATTAACAAGAATGATGGAATATTTGTTTCACATATTGCCATTTATCAATTCCACTTGTCTTTTCTTTTTTTTCTCACCGCGAGATATTTTTCATTTCGGGAGAAACTTCGTACGTTATTCAGCCAAAGCTTGTTGCCGTTAACAGATGTCCCACCTTTCAAATTCAGCTCGGTAAATCACATTTAATTTTCAAGCTTGTTTAGATCTCTCTGTTTCTAAAATGTATGAAGAATAGATGTGTTTTTATTGAGCCACAATTCGACAAGATTCAATCGGAAAATGAAGTTTTAGCCCCTTCGCTCTTAAACTAAATTAAGAAACCAATTTTACAGCGATTATTCGATATTACGAAAGTCTATTCGAAACCAGTATCACAGCTAAAGTTCTGTTTGTGATTGATAATTGTTGATTCGTTGCCCGTGGCAAATGTACGTAAGCGGAAGTTGGTAACCAAAGCACAAACCGAATAAAGAGAAGCAATATAATTTGCAGCACTAACGAACACATCCTCTTGAATGATCTTATAAACCTTGTTGACTCAACGCAAGCTAAGTTCTCGATATCATTTGCTGGCAGCATTCCTTCTCGTCTAACTGGTTCGAGAGACCTGAAACGGTTTGTATGATTTTCTAAACTTTCGTCACTCAAGTTGTTTGCCGGAGCTTTCTCGAATTATGGCGGCTAAAACACTAAAAAATCCGTATCGCTGGCAGACAATGAGGTTCAAACTTTCCTAGAAGAGGAAGAAAACCAATATACTAAAAAAAAGTTGCACATTCAGTGGCTTTGGTGTTAGCATTTCTCTCGGCTGAGAATGAAAATTGACAACTGGAAGATTTGCCACGGGCTGATTTTAGCCGTGTACCTGAAATACTTCTTCTGTCGGTAAGGACGAAGTCAATGAATGAGAATTTTCTCGTGTTCAACACGACATCTCACTCGTTCGCTGCGCTCGCTCATGAGCTATCAACTATCTACGCGCGCCAATGTACTATTCTCTATTTAAAACTACTCTTTGGAAAGTTTATGGTCATGAATCAATTTGAACTTTACCTTGATATTGAAAATACCTTTAAAAATCCCGCACGATACCTTTTACATAACCTATCGACGCATCAACCTCGAACCGATCATAAGCAAAATATCACTCCAGCTTGTGACTCAATGACACTGATAATTGTTTGTTTCGAGGGTTCCTTACGATGTCTTTCGAATCACCTTCACGAGAAACCTTAATTTGCTGCTGATAAAAAGCATGACGAGTC